TCCCTCTCTCTCTCACACTGTCAAAATAAATAAGTTAATTAAAATAATTCTTGGGACCAGCAGGTGCTGGACATTCCTACATGGCTGACTTTGGTTGAGTCCTCAACCTTGTGGTGGCTTTCTCTCTCTCTCTCTTTCTCGCTCTTGTCAAGTTAAAATAAATGAATTAATAAATAGAGTAATTCTTTAGTAAAATAATTCTTAAAAAAATATCTGTTTTGGGGCCAGCAGGTGGTGTGGTGGTTAAGGGTACAGGAGTCCCATGTGGCTGACTGCAGTTTGAATCCCAGACCCACCCAGCTGGCAGCTTGCTTTCTCACTTTTTCTCTCTTTCTCTGTTTTTCTCTGGTCAAATTAACATAAATGAATGAATTAATAAATAAATAGATAAATAATTCTCTAAAAAAATTTTTTTAAATAAAGGTATCTAGTATTACTCGTATATTATTTTTTAAAAAATTACCTGTTTTTGTATGGGGGGAAAAAAGGTGGAGAGAAGTGTAAAGCTACATAGAGATTATGTAAATTTAGAAAACCTATCTAATGCTTTATTCAGGATCAGAAGGGACATCCTAACTCAGTAAAAGTTCAACTTTAAAAAATGGATATTGGGAACCAGCAATTAGCATAATGGCTATGTCGCTAGACTCCCACGTAGTCGACCGCAGTTCGCGTCCCAGACCCGGTGGCTTAAAACTCATGCCAGGCGCATGTGTGTGCGTGCCCAAGATCCCGAGAGGAGAATGGAGGAGAAGGGATTGCGGTGTGACCATCCCCCCTGGGAGGTGATTTCTCGCTTTCTGTCTATGTCTCTCTCTGTCTGTCTGGCAAGCGCACGCCCCCTATAGCAAAAAAACTCTCAAAAAAAAAAAAAAAAAGGTATTTTCCTCAGAAACCCTCCTATGCCTACAGAACCTACGCCACAGGGACCATGGATGTCTCAGTCTTATAGGTCCCACATGGGTGTAGGAAGGCATTCCACACTCAGAGAAGACTTCATAGCCACTACACCAAGTGGGTGCTTCTTTATGGCTTCTAGTTTTTCTAAAACAAATTACTAAAAAGATAGACCTTTGCTGCGTATTTTATTTTAACTTTTTGCCAGAGGGCACATTTGCTTATCCAGAGAGACAGGGAAAGGGAAAAAGCAGCCCCTGTGGGGAATGGTCATGTCACAGTCCCTTCTCCATTTCTCCAGCCTGTTGGGGTTTGGGGCACACATGTACACACACTGGTGTGCTTCTCAAGCCACTGGGTCCAGGACTCAAACAACGAGGTCAGTCAGCCTGTGGTTTCTTGCTGCCCTACCCATCAGGCCACAGAGCTGATCCCTTTAGTGCATATTTGTTAAATATAAAGTTTTCAAACTCAGACAACTCGTTCAACTATCTCTAATATTGCTGTTCCTGTTTGAGGTGTTTTATTTCCTCTTGTTTTTTTACTTCTGGTTCAAGAGAATCTACTACCCATTGCCATATACTACAATGAATCTGGTTTCTTCACAATTAAAATTTGTATTTGTTGAAAATTATTTACTCTTGGGTCCAGCAGTTAACGTAATGGCTATGTTGCTGAACTCCCATGTAGCCAACCGCTACATGGGAGTGCACATGGGCATGTGCACACGTGCCCAAGATCCTGAGAAGAGAATGGAGGAGAGGGGATTATGGCATGTCTGTCCCCCCTGGGAGGTGATTTCTCACTTTCTCTCTGTCTGTCTCTTTCTGGCGAGTGCACGCACCCTGTAGCAAAAAACCTCTCCAAAAAAAGAAAGAAAAAGAAAATTATTTGCTCTGTTTGAAGGATACAGTCCTTTAACTGAATTTATATCTGTCATTTCTAGTAGCTGCAAAAGGAAAAAATGTATGAGATTTAAGGCTCTTCAAATTCTAAATGTGTTAAATGCCTGATAGAGGGTTCTTGTTCATGCTGTCAATAACTTTAAATTTTCTTGAGGAAAAAAATAGGCACTAGGATTCTTAGGTCCACAGCAGTATACCTTGGTGCAGAAAGATACTTGTTTTCCCCTCTGTAGACACTAGTGAGAGGAACTGACAGCATAGGTACTGTTGGGGCATTGGGAAAGTCTTGATGTGTTTTTCTAAGCAAAAATGCATCATGACTTTCCCAACAGCCCAGTTACAGAGAGGAATGGGTCACTGATGTACTAACTTGAGAAAGGAAGTAAGATCACTGCTGTTTAACTCAGAGCAACTGAAATCATTGATGTGAGACTCCAGTGGAACAAATGTTGCTCAGATGTTACTTTAGAGAAAGTAGCACTGAGGTGTTAACCTAAGGAGCCGAAATCAGTAAAGTTGAAACTGTAGCTGAGATACTACTTTAGAGAGGAGTTAATTCACCAAAGTGTTGCTTCAGAGAAGAGAAGAACACGTTTGGAGAAGAGTGGAGATGAGATCACTGGATGTTATTTCTGAAGAAATTACATCAGGGCAGATGTATAATGCAGAGTAACTGACCACTGAGGATTACCTCAGGTTTGAAATAGCTGAAATGAAAATTCAGAGTTGGGTTCACTAAGGGGTTAGAGATTAGCTCACTGAGGTCAGTCTTCTCAGAAGCTGAGATTACAGAGATACTTCTTTACAGGAACCAAATCATAGGTGAAATTCCAGAGGAATGGGAATCACTGAGATGTTAATTTAGAGGTAAAATCATGTTTTCAGTTTGAAGATGAGAACACTGATGTGTTTGTTGCTTCAGAGAGAAACTCAAGAGAGGAGGTCAGGAACCAGCAGTTAGTGTAATGGTTATGTCGCTGAGCTCTCTTGTAGCCGACCGCTGTTCGAGTCCTGGACCCGCTAGCTTAAACTCAACTCACACTGGGTGCATGTGCATGCATGCCCAAGATCCTGAGAGGAGAATGGAGGAGAAGGGATTGTGGTGTGGTTATCCCCCCTGTGGGGTGATTTCTCACTTTCTCTCTGTCTCTGTCTTTTTGGCAAGTGCACGTGCCATATAGCAAAAACCTCTCCAAAAAAAGGAGGAACTTCAATGAAGTACAACTACATGGCTATGATCACTTTGTTAATTCGGAAAAGAGACATGATCACTGAGGTTACTTTATTGCAGTTTAGATCACAGGTTAGTTCAAAGAGACTGAACTCACTAAGGCAATTCTCAAAAAAGAAATGAGATCACTCTGGTATTACTTCAGACAGGAGCTAAGATGACTGAGGTGTTACTTCAGTGAAATTGATCTCATACTTCAGAGATGGCTGAGGTCACAGGTGACATTTCAGAGAAGTCACAATCACTAAGGGTAAGGCTTTAGAAAGGAGCTGTGATCACTGAGGTGATTGTTCAGAAGAGCCAGGATTACCAACGTGGAAGTCAAGACAGCAGAGTTCACTGAGCTGTTACTTCAGAGAAGATGAGACCACTGTGGTATCTCACAAATTTTCCATGAAGGGAATCTACCAGCACTTGCTGATTGGTTCCACAACTGACATATAACACTGGCTGCTGCTCAGAGCCCACTCTTAGTCCACAATTTTTTTTTTAAAGATTTTTCCTATAGGATGTGTGTGCTCACCAGAGATACTGAGACAGAGAGACAGTGAGAAATCACCCCTCCCCCAGAGGGGAGGGCCACACTGCAGTCCATTTTCTTCTTGGGATTTTAGGCATGCATACACACGTGCTCAGCATGAGTTTCAAGCCTTCAGGTCCAGGACTCAAACCAAGGTCTACCATGGGGGAGTCCAAGGCTTTAACCACTACACCACCTGCCAGCCTCAGTCCACAATTCTTTCTTTTTTTTTTTTTTTTAAGAATTATAAAACTTGGGACCAGCAGTTAGCGTAATGGCTATGTCACTGGACTCCCACATAGTCAACCACGGTTTGAGTCCTGGACCCAGTGGCTTAAACTCACGCCGGGCGCATGTGCGTGCATGCCCAAGATCCCAAGAGGAGAATGGAGGAGAAGGGATTGCGGCATGGCCATCCCCTCTGGGCTGTGATTTCTCCCTTTCTATCTCTCTGTCTCTCTCTCTCTGGCAAGCGCACGCACCCTATAGCAAAAACCTCTCCAAAAAAAATTATTAAACTTTATTATTATTTGATTTGACCAGAGACAGAGAAAAAAGGCAAGCTGCCAGGTCCAGGACTCAAACTGCAGTAGGCCATGTGGGAGTCCAATGCCCCAACCACCATGCCACCTGAAAAACCCTCGATGTGTCACAGGACAACTTCAGTTACAGTGTATACAAGTTGCTGTGGATTGCCAAGTCTTCTACTAAACCAGGGTTTTCAGGGAAATCTTTCTAAATATAGTTTGCTTTCCTGCCTTCAGCAGAATATGCTTTGTACCTGTTATTGTATCGTACTGCCATTGATTCCTCAGTGAGCATGAAGTTTTGTGTATGGAGTCAGGAAACGGTCTACAGTACCCCTTTACCTGGGAAAGACCCCAGCTTTCTTGCCACTATTCTTAAGCAAGAGGCAGCATGTGACCTGTTGGAATAGATGGGCAGTCTGCCTTTTGGGGACATGACATCAGAGGCCAAAATGACTAGGGTACCATTCATACCAGTAACAACCCTCTCGCCCATTATTTCCTCTCTGACTTGTCAGCATTCCACACTTATTTTGGATTTTTAATTTTTATTCAGAAGTCTATAGGTTATTTAGATATTTCTCTTTATATTATTTCTTTAGATAGCTACCAAGAGTTAAATA